GGGAAGACTTGAGAGGCTGTGAGAAGGAACCATCATTTTATTTTATTTTATTTTTTGCTATATTTTGTAACACACAAATTTTATTGAGTCATTGGATGGTTTTTTTATGGAGTCAGCCGCTTGTGTGGCTTTTACATATGTATTAAAATACAAGGCATATGTAATTTATTTTTATTTCGATAAAGAAAAAAAATGACTCGTCTTCTTTTTCTTCTTCTTCTTCTTCTTCTTTCATGTTGTTCTCCTAACCCATCAGTCCTCGAATCCCTAAATTCGACCGATCTCCAAATCCACATCCGCCCCTCTGACCACGGCCCTACCAGAAAGCGTCTCCGCCCTCTTTTCTTCCCTGTTGTTCTTCTCAAACCCCTCAATCCCCAAATCCCTAAATATGATCAAAATAAAAAGAAAAATGTTACAATCACATAATAAAGGTATATAGAGAACATGGTACAATACGACAAATCCCTAGCATCATTCCTTTTCACATCGACTTATAAATGATGATATATAATTCTTGAAATATGTTCATGTCGACTGCGGGTGACAAGGGTAGAAGAAGAAGAAGAAGAAGAAGATTTAAGATTAATTCATTCATTTCTTATTTTATTTTATTTATCTATGTAACAAAAATAAATAAGACTTGTCACGTATTTTAATACACATGTTTGTGTCCCGTAAGATAAACAATCGAGTGAATCCATAGAAAAATCGAGCATCTCAATTAGCAGTCGGACCTGTCATGTGGTATTTAGTTGCCAAACACGTTGGCAAGAAGGTGATCACAATTTGAGTTTGATCTATGGAACAAGATTCCCGTTTTATTTTGTAATTTGTAAAAAAATGGGTTAAATTGTGAAAAAAGTTTGAAAGATCGTGAATAGAATAGTGCACGGTCTAATTTTATAAAGGCAAACATTTAGATTTCGATGATTGGATGAACGTAAAATACATGTATTGGAATAGAACAAAATGTAACCTATGTATTATTAAACACATCATTGTACACAACATTATTTGTTTGGTCTTTTGGTGCATCCTCTATCGCCACAAATTATATTAGGATTCTAGATAGGCTTAAATAAACCAATTAAATTATTTAGCAGGATGTCTATGATATGATTTAGACTGCTTTTTCACAAATTATATTAGGATTCTAGATAGCTTAAATAAATCAATTAAATTATTTAGCAGGATATATATGATATGATGTATTATGCTGCTTTTATGAATATTGCATAGTCAAATATAACAGAGAATGTAAAACGCCTTTCTTGATAATATATATATATTTATTATTTTAAAATTATAAATTACCTAATTTAAGGAAGAAAAAAATTGTGTAAGTGTATGCAATGAATTTCAAATTTGTATTCTAGAGGATTAAACAAAACTCAAAATTTTAAGATGTTCCAATCTGATTTAATTTTAAATTTCAAATTAATATTACTTGACTCTATTTTATGTTTAAAAATATTCGAACTAAAGAAAGTAGTAGCCAAATTATAAGAAAATTTTAATTTTAATTTTCAACTTGTAATTGGACCCGATTTCTATGCAATCTGATTTTTTGTAAATAAATATAATTTTTTGCAATTAAGTAAAGATACGTGTTATAGTATTTTGTCTAATTCAAAATTCTCAATTTTATGGTAAACAAATTTTGTTTTTTAATAAAAAAATGAGAGAATTGACTTTGACAAAATTGTCATGTCGAATTTTACCTAAATTAATCCAATTTTTATGCAATCTATTTTTTTAATAAACAATTGATCTGTGCAATTAAGAAAAGATATATGTGATAATATTTTGCCTAATTCGAAATTTCCAATTTTATGATAATCAATCTTTTTAATAAAAAATGAGAAAGTACTTTGACTTTTATAAAATTGTAAGCATCAGTCAAAATTTACCTAAATTAAATACACAAAACCAAGAAATTTAAGTGCATATTTAGTTGATCAATTTTTTGAGAATAATTTAAAAAAAAAATTAAAAAATTGCCAAAAATAGAATGCAATAAATGTTTGTTGACTTTTTTTGTTACTATTTTTGGTAAATAAGTTTTCTCTTCATATATACAGATATAGATTACAATTACCTTGGATGATACATGCTACATACGTTGTGTACAAAAAAAAAAAATAAAATAAAATAAAAAATATTAAGCTGCTCATTGCTATTTCTCTATAATAGGTTGGTACTTCCAGTTTCGGTTCACGTCTTTTGGTGAACTCGAACCGACCCGATAATATATGGACCGGTTGAATGAACCCGCGGTTCACGGTACACAATCAAAATCATTTGAGCAAATTTTCATATAAATCAAAATCACCATAATCGAAATGAAGATACGAAGTAGAAACATAATCCGGGTCATTTTCGTATTTAATTATTTACAAATTATTATTTTTTTTCGGATTTTCTCTTTTTTTTTTAAAAAAATAAAAATGAACAGCCGGTTCCGGGTCAGCCCAGAGATTCAAAATAATCTTGACCGTTGGATCTCAATTGTTAATATGATCCCACTGTCAAACTTGAAATTCTGACTGTTAGAGGTTCTGGTTGGGCCGCGGACCCATACCAGGAAGCATTTACAATAATAATAAAAAATTTGGACAGTTGAGTCTCCAATGGTCCAGATTTAATCTTCTGGTCGGTCTGTCAATGATTTTGGACCATCCCATATTTTTTTAAAACAAAAAAAAAAACTTAAATTTTGCCAAAAAAAAAAAAAATTAATAAAAAGCTACTTGAGTCTTCCGGGCCGCAAAACCAGCCCGCCTCGATCCTAGATCAAAATCGAAAGTTAGCAAAAATATATTTTCTTGAATCTGAATCGGCATGAGTAAAACTCCAAGTCAGTTCTTAGCCCACGGTCAACGAACTTGACCAAGCCGAGTTTGAGCCGGCCGGTGACCATGTCTACACCTACTCTCTCCTCTCCCATAGACAGACTGGAGAGTCAAAGGATGTCCATACCCCTTGCCCACATTTTCCATAAATCTTGTGACCACCTTTTCTAACATGTTGCGTAACGAAGAATTTTTTATTGTAACTACATAACAATTTGGTTGACATACTAATTACTTATATAGCAAATAACCATATAATAATTAACAATGTCATACTTTAAAAGTTAATAGGAAAAAAAAAATAATGTTTGATAATATATATTTATTTTTATTCACATAGTATGACAACTTGATTCACCAAGAGGGTGTGTCACACTATTTGTGATCTTAAATATTCTTTTTCATTTTTTTTTTTTTCCGAAACAATGGAGATATTACTTGTTCGATTTTACTTATTTGAATTTAAATTACTAAGTTGGAAAACTTATTATTAGGTCTTTAAGGGCATGGAGATAGAATTCGTACGTTCCGTTTTATACACATGTTGTTGTTAGGTTGCATAACTGTTAGACAATTATATTTTTCTTACAAAAGAAACATGTACAACATACAAATATCATATTTATGTACGTTGTATATTAAAGAAGGGAAATGTTACAGTTCCGTTACGGAATCATTTTGTCGGGATTTGTAACTATTAGATCATCATGTAACCGTCGTGGATAGTTGATTTAACGGTTACAAATCCCGACGGAATGAATCCGCAATGAGACCGTAAAATCTCCCATTAAAGTATGACATTTGAATTAAAATAGTATGACAAGAAAACAAAAATATGATACTACTATGCAGAGCATTTCTACGATGGAATTTCCGTTGAAATCCAGAGATACCATGAACCTAACCTAGCTCTAACACAAACTAAAACTAGGCCTAATATTCACCAGCTTCATCATGCAAAAAAGGACAAGTCAGATTTCAAAGTATATATTAACATGACCAAATGAGCTGGCAGTGGTTGCAGAGTATGTCTCTATCTCCCAACTCTAAGCATGCAAACAAAACTACACCACATAAATCCCTAAATTCATTCTTCCACCAAATTGCTCACCACTTCCCAACAAAACCTTCCACAATAGAGACAAAGTACATAAAGCTGTCACACTCTAAAAAAAAATTGTATAACACAAAAAGTTGTTAACAAGAGTTTGAAAATTAATCAAATAAATAAATAAATAAATAAATAAATCTTTTACTATCCATTTATCCTCCTTATAATTATTGTGCTGCTACACAACATACACATCAAGAAAGAAAAACTCTTATGGCTTCCTTATCTTCTTCCTTGCTAGTGATTCTTGTTTTTGTAATAACACCAGCATCATCAGCAGCAGCAGCTTCCGTTCGAACGTATTTACCGGGAACTTTCGTCCGGTCGTCCCTCAAGAAAGTTGCAAAGAATGCGAAGCCAAAATTACCATATGAAGTCCATTATTTCCCACAGAATTTGGATCACTTCACATTTCAGCCCAAGAGCTACAAAATTTTCTACCAGAAATATCTGATCAACAGCCAGTTTTGGAAGAAGGGCTCTCCTATTTTCGTGTACACCGGAAACGAAGGAGATATCGATTGGTTTGCGGCTAACACCGGATTCTTGCTCGATATTGCTCCCAAGTTTCGTGCTCTTCTCGTGTTTATCGAGGTCTGATTGCTGCTCGTTCTTGATCTTTAAGACAGTTATCATTTGTGTGTTGTTTTGCTATTATTTTTGGATTTTTTTTAGAGTCTTAAAAACCATAGCCACTCGACCGTTATCCGATTCTGTCGACCACTGTTCGATTCATCAACTCTATGATCTTTAATATATATCTGCATGAAATCAAGATTCCATTATGCAAAACTACTCTGTTCAGAATACTATGAAAAAATCCCATTATGTAACTATATAAATTTCATATTTTCAGCATAGGTTCTATGGAGAATCGATGCCGTTCGGAAAGCACTCTTACCGGTCTGCAAAGACGTTGGGGTACTTAAATTCACAGCAAGCACTGGCTGATTTTGCTCTCCTCATTAGAAGTTTGAAGCAAAATTTATCTTCTGAGGGCTCCCCTGTTGTGGTCTTTGGAGGGTCTTATGGAGGAAGTAAATCCAAACACTCCCTTCATCATTTTTAGCTTTCTTACCTCATTATTGTTAGAATATCACTTATGATTTGTCTCACATCGTTTATACATGAAAAATGGACCTAACTTATAAGTCTAATGGGCTACTCTGCTTTGGTGCGCTTCATGTCTGTGAGACCGCACCCGTCAACCCCCATTTCTTCATTATTGAATCTTGTTCCCAAAATTAACATGTATTTGTTGCTTGCTATTCACATGTTAAGTCATATAATGGGCAATTGGGATTCTGTTTTTCAAGGCTAATATGTTGTTTGGTTATTGCTTTAGTGCTTGCTGCTTGGTTTAGACTAAAATATCCACACATAGCCATTGGAGCTTTGGCATCTTCGGCCCCAATCTTGCAGTTCGATACCATCACTCCTTGGTCGAGTTTCTATGATGGTGTCTCCAAGGACTTCAAGGTGGAAAAAAATGAAAGTTGTAAGATTTTTCATCTTATGATAGAAAAATAAATGACTGTATATTGAAATGGATTCGGTTTTCGGACAGGATGTGAGCTTAAATTGCTATCAAGTAATAAAGGACAGTTGGGCAGAATTGGAAGCCTTTTCCAAACAAGGACTAGACGAACTCAGCCGTGACTTCAGGGCTTGCAAGTAAATTTCTTGATTACGTTTATGTAATTTATGATCAAAATTTTTGAGTTATGTACACAAAAGTTAGTGAGAAATTCTCATGTCGTTTTAATGTAACAGAAAAGTTCGGTCGATTTATTCTGCCCGGGACTGGCTTTGGGATGCCTTTGTATACACAACGATGATGAATTATCCCACGGCATCTAACTTCATGAAGCCACTTCCTGCTTACCCGGTTAAAGAGGTACATACGGCTAAAAAATCCGTGATAATTTATGGATTGCAAATTTGATTCAATTTTTTTTTAACCAACTCTTTTTCATTTTTTTTCCTTGATGAAGATGTGTAAGATTATCGATCGATCACCCCCAGAAGCTACAAAGCTAACTAGAGTCTTCGAGGCTGCTAGCTTATATTACAATCACTCGAGAAGTGAAAAATGCTTCGAGTTAGAAAACGAAACCGATGATCATGGCCTCCATGGTTGGGATTGGCAGGTAATGTTTAAGTGGGATTTTGAAGTAGAAAATGAGATTATTTGTTAAGTTGGCTACACTCACAACACGTGGACACTAACGTAATTACTTTATTATATTAACAAAGTAATTACACGAACACAATACAGACCAAGATAAATACTTTACTTATCAATGCCAAAACACATTAATTATTTATTATAATACACACTCTCAAATACACTCAATATTTTTTTTCATGTAGATATGCCCTCACAGCTCACACACACACAATTCACTCTTTTATTTTACTTTTGTTTTTCTACACACAACTCACTTAATATTTTCTCTCTTTTTCTTATTTTCTTGCACACACATATATATAGCTTATATAACATTAATTCTTTAACTACTAACAACTAACTACTATCTAACAACTAATTATTTCCTAACTTAATTATATATTAAATATATTAGATTAGATATTTTAAGAAACTTCTAGTTGGTGTTGATTAAATATGAACATTATTACTAAGGAAATGACTAACTCCTTTTTTCTTAATTTGAACTCAAACATCTCAGGCATGCACAGAGATGGTAATGCCAATGACAATCTCGAACGAGAGCATGTTCCCGCCATCTTCATTCAGTTACAAAGACTTCTCGGATAATTGTAAGAAAGATTTCGGAGTAACCCCTCGACAGCACTGGATCACGACTGAATTTGGTGGCTCGGTTAGTATTTAATTTTACATTTCCTTTAATTTCAGTGCATCACTGATGTTTTAAGCATGGAGAAAGACTGAATAAGAATCTTTTTTTACTTATTTATTACATTTTTAACTGTCTGAATAGAACATTGAACATGTGCTGAAGAGATTTGGCAGCAACATTATATTTTCCAGTGGACTGCAAGATCCATGGAGCAGAGGCAGGTTCGTTCGAAAACAAAAATATTATGTGATTGTATTAACTGATTTTTCCCTTTAGAACAAAAAATTAGTTGTCCAAAAAATATGACAATCAAATTTCTGCAGTTTACGTGGGAAAAATTAAAAGAGATCCATTAAAATCTTATATAGAATTTTGATCTATCTGTCGTTTTTCGAATTTCTGTATTCAGTGTGCTGAAAAACATATCTGCAAGCATTGTGGCTCTAGTGGCTGAGGAAGGTAGACACATCTCATCACAAACTAAAGCAGCTACTTTTGTTTATTTATTATTTATATATTTGCGTAGTTGTAGAGAAAAATTCCATACATAAAGAGTTTCCATGGTGACAATACATGCAGGAGCACACCATACGGATTTGCGGGCAGCGACGAAAGATGATCCCCAGTGGCTAATCGAGCAGAGGAAGCAGGAAGTCGAGATTATAAGGAAGTGGATATCGGATTATTATTACGACTAGTTAACGACCAATATGAATATTGTAATGTATTTGACTGACATTGTTGCAGCAAGAATATGCGAGAAACCGAATCGGGTTTGTCTAGCATCAACCTAAAGAATAGAGAAGAATATACTATGGATTGTGGGTGTGTGTACATACTTGCCTTCTAGAGAATGACAAATAACAACACGAATGGAGAATGATGACGAACAACTCGATCAAACCACGAACCAATAACACTATCTTCGAACAAACTCAAACAAAGAATTAAATTAAATAATCAAAATCGAGGCATATGAAACACGCGCTCATGAAATTGCCACTGATTAATGCCCATAGTTTTTGACAAATGTCTCTAAAATACAATGACTTTTATCTTGTGTGTAGTGACACTTCAAATAAACCAGATTTTGGCGAACTTACTTGTGTTTAGAACTCTCAAGAAAGACGAAATAATCATGAACACAAGATGAACATGACATATCATATGTTCTATCTCAATTTCATATCGTTTAGTTAAGTTCTCACTAAAGAATGGGGAATTCATAGATATTCTTATGGATTCATGCGTCAAAAGACACCTTATGGAACGTGTCGGATCATCCAAAACCTAGTACCAACCTTTTAAACATGAGTAAGTGCGTCTGGGTTGCATACGTGATGAGCCGTCTTGCCCAACAGTTGAGCTGAAGCAATTGTCGCACCTGCGACGGGGCTTGGCGGGCTCCTGTGCACTGAGAGCCCGTACACGTTCGTCCGGAATCGAAATTGTGCTCCGTTTTTCAATCAAACGATATTTTGGGAGAGAATCTTTATTTCTAATCTTTCTCTTCTTGGACTTTGATTTGGATCTTCGAATGTGGGCTAGCCATTTGGATCTCTTTGGGCTCGAGTTTATCTTTAACAAACATTAATTTGAGAGTCAAATGATTTATTCCTTTGATCTCTTTGGAGATGGATTTAGACTTGAATAGCGTTGAATCAAGGGTTTGGCAAATGTAGGTTGAAAATCGCAAATAAGGCCTTTGATTATTTTGGATTTGACTTGAGATGATTGGATGTTGTCTCCTTATCCTCTCTATCTTCTCCATTGGATGTACTTCAGAGGCTCTAAGGCTATTCATAGGCTCGGAGGCTATTTTGGATTAGACGTTGATCTTCAATTTAAAATGTACTTGGATTCCAAGAACGCGTTTGAGTCTTAAAAAAAGTTCTCGAGGCCTCTTAAAATATAAGGTGTGATTTTTAGCTTTAGGAAACCTTATTTATATGTGTTGGAGAGAGTACTAAATAAGACATCAATTTGATAAGTCATTTGACATAATCTCTTCTATTATCGATTTGATATAATCTCTTTCTGTTATCCTAAGATTTGGATGGACAACAAATAATTATTTTATAATTATATATCTTCTTTATTTTGTTTTTATAATCAAAATAGGGAAATTCTACGGTCTCGTTACGGAATCATTCCGTCGAGATTTTGTCCGTTAGATCAACTATCAACGACGGTTACATGATGATTTAACGGTTACAAATTCTGATAGGATGATTCCGTAATGGGACTGTAGTATTTCTCAAGGAAGGTAAAAAACGTTCAAGAGGACGATGACTAGTAATAAGGGTGCTGGTGAATAGTAATGAGCTAGTTTAAATTACACTATCCGATGCCATTACTCATTCATTGCTGGCAAGCAGTATTAGTGAGAACTGAGAAGACGCAGACGGCCACCGAAACTTCCCAAAGCGAATTAAAACCAGTGAAAAGCAAAATCGTACAGCGCCCACAAATAGTTAAAGATACAGATCGATCCACATAACTGTGATTTAATGAACTAGGGTTGGATCTGATTTTGTCACGCACCGACACACGCAGTTAGGTGAGGAGAGGAGAAGCTATGACCCGGAGATCCGCCGCCTGCTTGCGGTGTTGCTTGGTGATCTTTGCGGTGGTCTCTGCGCTCTGTGTGTCTGGGCCCGCTCTCTACTTCAAGCTCAACAAGCGCTTTAAATTGAAAGGGGTTTCGGCTTCTTGTCCTCCGTGCAACTGCAAATGCGCTCCTCCGCAATCCCTTTTTCAGATTGTTCCTGGTATTATGATCCTTTATTGCCTTTTTTTTTTGTTCAGAGCTTGATTTTTTTTTATGCATAATTTAATGTTTTCGGCATCTCGATTCAGGTCTGTGTGATCTTTTATTTTAGGGTGAATTGCTAAATAAACCTTAACCTTTTTGTGTTTGGCAATTTTATCCCAATCTTTGGGTAATTGCAATATAATCTCGACCTCAATTTACTTGTTGCAAATTTGGGTGCAGAGTGATTGATTTTAGGGATTTGTGGATTGATTTTGTGTCTAAGTCGTCCATGGACACGGGTTTTTATGCTATTCACGTAGCAAGTTGACAATTTCCACGTATTTAATGTATATACACGCACAAAGTCGAAAATTCCACGTCAATGTAAGCTACCGGTGATGAGTCTCCTCCTAGATCTGGAGTGAATCGGTAAATATGAGTTCCGATCTGTTCGAACCGCCTTCAAATCGACCAAATTTTTTAAGTTCCAATCGGTATTAAGTTTGACTTGCAATAAGTAAATTGAGGTCGAGATTATATTGCAATTATCTAAAGATTGGGATATAATTGCCAAACGCAAAAAGGTTAAGGTTTATTTAGCAATTAACCCTTTATTTTATTTTTGTCTTATATATGTGAGTTTGTTCCGATTCAGCTGAAATTTGATGTTGATTTTCATTTGTACAATCTGTTCAAGCTGCAGTATATTCAAGTCTGCTTAAAGTGGGTGGATAATCTTGTATCTCTCAATCAAAGAGCACATTGGTCCTTTTCTTTTTCTTCATCATGTATGGTTCTGATGGGATTCGAGTTTTAAACCTTGGGTGAATATGCAATGCTATATTACCTCTGTTTTAGGATAAATTAGTTAGTGGTAATCATTGTCTAGTATTGAATTCTACACTTAGGTTCATTGTGGGTTCTATCTTGTAAATATTTTGCAAATGAGGCAGCACATAGATGTACTTAAGCAGTAAGATAGTAATCTAAGTACCCAAGAGAAATACTAATGGTTTGTTATTCTTGTTACTATACTGATTTCTTCTGTACTATGGTGCCCAAATGTAGAAGTTTGTGGTTCTTATTTTTTACCTTATATTAATGATACTGGGTTACATGCAATCATCCTCTGTTTTTTCTCTAACGGGTGGTTCTTTTTTGAGTTGCAATAAACTGGGGTGGTTGAAATCCCTTTGGTTGACAGTTGGTGCATTTATTGTTCGTGCATCCTAACTTGACACATGAAAATTTACTTTCGAAACAGATAGATTGCATAATATGTCTGCTTGTTATGGTCCATGTCTCGAGCACAACTATCTCTATAGACAATCATGATCAGATGATGTACTCCTCACCGGTTAATGGTTTAGTCATATTTATCGTAAGCTTGTGCTGGTAATTGTGGAAAATGTGTTGCTCTTTCCCTAAACAATGGGTTGTTGGCATATACCCGCAATCCGGCTGAGAGGGAAAATTAAGAAAATGAAATTATGTAAGTTTCCATCAGGAACTGTGTGGTGTTTACACTTGCTTGGTTCCTTTTCCCACTTTCAGCCTAGTAAACTATGAAATAAATAATAAAAACGAGAAGGCCCTGAAAAGTGAGATAGCTGCTGAGTGCTGAATGCTTACAATAAAAATGACTAGCTACCGCATTACTTCTTACCTAGATAAATGTTGAGCACATATCAGAGAATATTAGAATCGTCCTTTGTGCACTTTTTATCTTTAAATGATTATCGGTTTTTGTGTATTTACTTCTTACCTAGATAAATGTTGATTCAGTCATGTTACTGATGCTTGTCCATTTTGTTTTTCTTGTTTCTGCAGGTTTGGCTAATCTTACTGTTACAGGTACATTAAATGAAATCTTCTCTTTCCCACTGTACTTTCTCCTTGGAAGCAACATTTCATGGTGTGCTAACATCCAATTTATGTTAAAAATATTCATAAATAATCAACATTAATAGGGTGCCTTGCCGTTTTGGTCTTTCTGGTCTAATTTCAACATTTTATTTGATTGACGGCAACTTCAGTGAGTTAATTCAGATTTTATGATAATATGACACATCGTAATTCCTATTCTTAGACACTCACTAAGATCAAAATTTGGTCATAGATGATCTGCGGGGTGCGAAGGACCCTTTAAGTTTGGCCTTTCCTGATAAAATACAAGGGATGCTTAAGAAAGCATGCCGAGGTGCCGTGTAGCTTTCATACATAGGACGATCCCATAGCAGTTTCTATTTACCTTACAACTGACACATCCTGAGGGCAATGGGGCGCACCTCTGTAAGATATAAGCTGGTGCAAGGGGTGTATTTTTTATTCAAAATGATAGCTGATATTTTTCAATTGTTTATTTTTTTATTTTTTTTTTCCATTGACGCTAAGGCGATTTTCCTAAATTACTCATATTTTCATTTCCACACTATTAGAAAAGCTCATTAAGTCTCAGCACAAGTCTTTTTTTTCTACAAATTCAGGTTTTATGCCCTGAACTTCGGTTTATGTGAACTCATTGCTAAAACATGGAACTTTTATTTCCCATTCTTTTATTTGTTTAATCTTATGAAATAGATTGCGGGAAAGATGACCCAGACGTAAAGGAAGAAATGGAGAAGCAGATTGTAGACTTATTATCAGAAGAGCTAAAGCTGCAAGAAACAGTTAGCGGAGAGCACTCCCAGCACATGAACATCACTTTAGGAGAAGCCAAGAGATTGGCTTCCCAATACCAAAAAGAGGCTGAGAAATGCAATGCCGCCACTGAAACGTGTGAGGGCGCCAGAGAAAAGTCGGTGGTGCTGCTGACTCGAGAGAAGAAGATAACGGCACTGTGGGAAAAGAGGGCCCGACTACTTGGCTGGGAAGGTGAATAATTAGTTTATTAATGAATGTTCTTCTCTATTGATGGTGTGTTTCTTGAGATATGAATGGGGGTAACAACTGAGAGGGTAAAGATTATCGTGCAAGGAAGTTTTGCACGTATAACCTACTGCAGTTGTTTTTGTGCTATATTACATTCAATATTTGTGTCTTTGGCGAAGATGGTCGGCACAAGCTGAACTAAGCTGCAGTGAGTGTAGAAAGTATATTTATAACTTTGACTCAGTAATGCAACATGTAATCTGTATGGATATGTTTACTTACGTTACACAGATTATTTGCACCGATTATTTGCGGTGGTGAAACTCTGAAAGTACAGTTTTTTGGTCCATTCGAATTTCATAGTGTCAAAAATTATATCTATCTTGTTCTGATACTGCAGCTAATACCAAAAATCGTCCCAGTAATGTTCTCTATGCACTGTAAAGATTCCAAAAACTTATTCATAACTGGCTCTGTTCCTGTGGGAATTCCTGCAAAAACCACTCGTGCACTTAGGAGACACTTGTACTTCGATCCTGGATGGTCGTGTGGCGCGTTCCCATTGGTCGAACCCATTGTACCGACCTCATCAGCTGCAGCATAATACACGAAGAACTAATGATTGTTAAATCAGCACAAAACAATCGTTTTGTGTTACGCGAGATTTATAGTGGGGTGAAAATAGTAGTACTTTTTTTTTTTTTCAAAACTCGTACGTTAGTGTGATAACACTGTAACATATAAATATAAAAATTTCATAAGTTAAATTGGGAAGTGCGCAGTACTCCATTCTTTCCACATTTTTTTTTATCTTATTTAATTTTTGGTAACTAAGCACAAAGTAATTTTCATGCAATTTTTAATATTCTTATTTAGGTTCTAAAAAACCATTAGACGAGTTTCACCAAAAACATATAAATAAATAAATAAAAAAATGGTTAATACGATAGTATAGAAAATATTCATTTAATAAAAACGATGGAATATAAACTAAGGGAAATGCTACGGTTCCGTTACGGAACCATTCCGTCAGGGTATATAACTGTTAGATCATCATGTAATCGTCAGAGATAGTTGATCTAACGGTTACAAACCCGTAATTGTGTACTATAAAGTAAACATTGCATATGTATTTGTAAAGTATAACTGGCAAGTATTTTGTAATAAAAATTATTTTTACATTCAAAATATGTATTTACTGTTAAAAAAATCATGTTGAGAGAGGAAGAAAATGTCAAAAGAGAGAGAACTAAAAGATGGTGTGAAGCATAAATTTGTCAAAAAAGAGAGTTAAAAGGTAGATATGATGGATAAATTTGTCAAAAAGGTGAAAATAAGTGTGGTAAAAATTTATAGTTAATTGGGTTAAAAAAAAATGACTGTTGTGACTTTGAGCTAGTGGGCAAAGACCAACTTCAATTTTAAAATATCAGTCTTGATCATGCTTCAAATTCTTATTGAATAATAATAATTAATACCTCAAAGTATAATTAATACCAATATAAATGAATTTAAAATAAGATCCTATCAACCGTGAGTTGATCCTTCCTATTTAATTAATTAAACCGTGAGTTGATCCTTCCCATTTAATTAATTCTAAGTAATCACCGTTTAATTTAAATTAAATTGGTCAAAAAATCATTATATAATTGGCTGATTCTTATTCTTGTTTTTTTTTTTTTTTCTTCTACTAGTTGGTGATAGTTAGGACTTAGGTGTTGTATTTGTAACTGCAAATTTTAGCATGAGCCGAATAGACGGTTCGACTTGTTATACTTTTTTAAATAAATATGTATGTACTTATATTACAAAATAATATATTGTTTGTATTGTTATCCTTGTTTTTTCTTTTCTTCTACTAACACATGCAATCAGTTACTCCTCTAGCCCAAGGTGGACACGAGCATCTCCAATGGTTTTTGGATTGCTCGATTTTGTTGCCACATGACACAAAAAATCTATGAGGCGTAAAAAAAATTCTAGAAGTCTTTCCAGATTTAGAAGTACTTCTAAACAACTTCTATTATATATTACATTGTTTATTCAATTTCTCTCTTTTTCTCCAATCAATTATAATTTTACACATGTCAAATTATAATATCATTAACTTTAACCATTGGAGGCATAATTTCTTAACCTCGTTTCTTCATGTCATGCAACACAAAATGGATAATATATCATTGAAGATGCTCTTATCATGCCAAAAAACTTATGGCGGGAGATTATTATACAATGGTGAGTATGTAGTTGAAAAAACGAGATCTTGACATGTGGCCGGTTGGCACGACTTAATGCACCAACAGGGGGTAGTAATTGCAAGTACATGATGATGGTAAGAATAAAACAGCAACTTACCATAAAAAAAAATGTGTCCAATATTTGGTAAATAATTAGTATCATTAAGCCAAATATATATATATATATATATATATATATATATATATATATATATGAGTGTTTGAATGCCTGAAATTATTATCTTATTAACCTCAAGTGAGTGAGAGTTTGAGAAGTTCTCATGACAGCAACTAAAACTGCTACTCCTAACTGCAGCTTATGGATTAAAGGAAAATAAATTAACAGTAACAAACTCAAACATCCTACAGAGACCATTGAAACTAGAGACAGATAGCACATGGTATATATA